GCACCCGGATTTGCTGGGCTGGATTAGTATCACAGCAAATCCGGATCCCACGCCACCGCCGTTGCCACCACATCCCGCTCGTCTCACGTTCGCTTCTCCGTCCCTTCCCTCACCGACCCCTGCCTCTATCCACCCTGCACGAGCAATTATTTCCACCGCCCGCCCCATTCAACGTGCGTGTACCTCGGCTCCCCTTCCCGCACGCCCACCCCCAACCGCACGATGCCGAAAGTCAAGCCGAAGCTCACGGCCGGCGTGGCGGGCACGATGCCGCGCCACGCCATGGACGTGACGCGGGGCAACTCCAAGTTCGGCCACGGCCGCGACAAGGCCACGGTGAAGCGCCTGCACATGTACAAGACCAAGTCGCACAAGCGGGACCGCGACGGAAAGATAATCAAGGATGCGGGCGACCTGACCCGCACCACGCCGGAGCCGGGCGCAGGCCGCGTGGGCGCCAACCGCAAGTGGTTCGGCAACACCCGCGTCGTCGAGCAGAAAGACCTCACCCGCTTCCGCGACGCCATGGCCAAGGCTCAGGCCGACCCCTTCTCTGTCCTGCTCAAGCAGAAGCGCGTGCCCATGGGGCTCGTCGCGGACAAGGACTCGCAGCACCGCGCGCTGGCGGGCGCCCAGCTCGGCTTGCTGGCGAACCAGTCGTTTGAGGAGACTTTCTCGAAGAAGAGGAGGAGGAAGAGACCGAAGCTGCCCGCCTCGTCCATGGAAGAGCTCGTGGCGAGGGCGGAGAAGGAGAATCACGACTTCGATAAGGAGGTTGAGAGGAAAGAGATCGAGGCCGATGAGCGCGCGAAGAGGATTGCCGCGGAGGCCGCCCCGGACCCAGATGCCAAGGAAGGGCTGCGCTTTGATGATCTCAAGACCGCCAATCGGGAGAGGGTCTTCGATAAAGGCCAGAGTAAGCGCATTTGGGGCGAGTTGCATAAGGTCGTTGACTCGAGCGATGTCGTCGTACAGGTCTTGGATGCGAGGGATCCTATGGGCACCCGCTGCAAGTACCTGGAAAACTTTATGAAGAGGCAATGCCCGCACAAGCACATGATATTGCTGCTCAACAAGGCAGATCTTATTCCAACCTGGTCCTCTGCCAAATGGCTTCGTATCTTGTCCAAGGAGTATCCTACTCTGATTTTCCATTCTAGTATCACAAACCCGTTCGGAAAGGGCTCCCTCATCAATTTACTGAGGCAGTTCAAGTCGCTTCATTCGGAAAAGAAATCAATTTCGTGCGGCCTTGTTGGGTACCCGAACGTCGGCAAGTCCAGCGTCATCAACACGCTGCGTGCGAAGAAGGTGTCCAAGGTTGCCCCGATTCCTGGAGAGACCAAAGTGTGGCAGTATGTTAATTTGTTCCGCTCCATATTTTTGATTGATTGCCCCGGTGTCGTGCATGACTCAACTCGCAACTCTGAGACCGAGGCAATTCTCAAAGGCGTTGTCCGTATCGAGTCACTGCGCGGTATGGCAGCAGAGTACATCCCGGCCTTATTGCAACGCGTAGAGAAGAAGTACATCGTTCGCACGTACGGGATCACCGAGTGGGAGCGTCCGGACGACTTTTTGGAGAAACTGGCGAGGAAGAGCGGTAAGCTTCTGAAGAGAGGAGAACCCGACTGCAATACGGTTGGACGAATGATGCTAAACGACTTCCAAAGAGGAAAGCTGCCGTGGTTTGTGCCTCCTCCGGCCGTTGAGGGCGAGGAGGACGAGGACGAGGTTGGGGAGCAAAACCAAGAAAGCGATGAGGACTCGGATGGCGAGGGACAAGGCGAAGAAACTGAAAAGCCTCCCAAGCAAGTTACTGTGAATCACGAAAACATTAGAAAACTGAAAGTGACCGAACTACTCGCAGATGATGCGCCAGTAGACAGCGATGGAGAGTAGTACAGAGACTGTGTCTTGTCGTTTCACAGGTAGGTAAAGATGTCGACTGGCGCGATAAATTAAATTTGTATCGATGGGGCATACTGTGTTAATGAAGATGCGAGCGGACGAAGCTCGCATATCGCGATCCGCGGGCCTGATTCATTCATGTCTTGGGCGGTGGCGGCGGCGGAGCGCCTTCATCGGCCACAAGCGTAGGCGTTCCGCCTTGTGGCATCATCATCGCTGCAGGAGGGCCCTGTTGCGCCATTGCAGCCTGCGAGACTCCGTAAGGCGCATGCGAAGGCATATGCGGCTGGGCATGCGGTGGAAAAGAAGCCGCGGGTGGCGGGCCATTGGCATACGGCCTCTTCGGGGTCCACCCCAACTGGGTGGTCGGTGCGACGTGATACCCCTGCGGCGGCCCGGGTGGCTGCTGATAATGATAACCCTGCGGCGGCACGGCGGGCGGCTGCGGCGGGTAAGCCGCGCGCTGCCACTGCGGCATGTGCTGCCCGTGCGTCTGCGGCTGGTATGGATACACGTGCTGCGGGAGCGGGGGCATGTGCATCGGGGCGGGGGGGTGAGCGGGGTGGGCGGGGTGGGCGGGCAGGGCGGGCGGGGCGGCGGAGGCGGGCTTGTCGGCAAAGAGGGTGTGTGGGAGCAACAGCGGGTGCCGCGAAGCGTTGGCGGCGGCCGACTCGGCGGCGCTGGCGGCGAGCAGGCGCTCGGCGTGCGAGCCGTGGCGCTCGCGCGCGTGGCCGTCCTTCTTGTACGCGTACTGCACGGAGATGGGGGCGTTGCAGATGTACTGGCCGTCCATGGCGGCGATGGCCGCGTCTGCGGCGGCGAAGGACGCAAACTTGACAAAGCCGTAGCGCTTCGACTGCTGCGACACGGCGTCGCGCATGATGTACGGCGCGTCCACCACGGGACCGAAGGCGGAGAAAGCGTCGTGGAGCAGTTTTTCGGTCACCGCGTCGACTAGGTTGCCCACGAAGAGGTTGGCGCCCACGTCTTGCGAGCGCCGGTCGAGCGTCGACTGGGAGAGGCGCAGGGGCTTGGAGAAGAGAGAAACCATGTTGAGTGTCTTGAGCGCGTACAAAGCGTCCAGCGCCGTGTGGAACTCGCAGAAGCCGTAGCCGTAGTGCGCGCCCGAGATGCGGTCGCGCGGGATGTAGACGTTGCGCACCGGCCCGGCTTGGACCATGAGCTCCCACAGGAGGGCGTCCGTGACCTTGTCGTCCAGCTGGCCGACGTGCAGCGTCGCGTCGGCGTTGCGGTCTGAGGGGTTCCGGTTAGACGATGCGACGGCCGCCATCGCGGGGGAGGTTGGGTTGCCGAAGGGGAAGCAGGCGGATGGGAAGAGGAGTAATCGAGTTTGGTGCCGAGGTTGCAATTTGTCGAGGGACGGGAGGGAGGGATCAAGACGCATGGAACGGGCAATCCACAAAGTCCTTGTCCAATGGTGTGGCGATGTATGTCCACCAAAACCAATGGAAAAGTCCGAATCGGCATGTCTCCGCCAACCTTGGGGCTCCACATGTCGCTGCCCAACCCTCCAGCAGCCCGAAAATGGCCACAAAATCACTGCCTCACCAAAAAACGGCGTCTGCCACATCCTGGCGCCTCTGGATCGCCCCTCCTCCCTTTACATCCTCTCTTTAATTCCCTTCTTTACATCCGCTCCTTACTTCGCTCCCCTCGCCCCCCGACCTCAGCCACCTCTCCGCCACCCACCCCATGTCGCGCTACGCCGACTACGACTCGCGCGCGCCGCGCCGCGCGGGCGGGTACACCGCCTACAGCGACCGCGACCGCGCGGGCCGTGACC